TGGGCTCAGGCAAGGCTGGAACACTTGCTCAATCAACGGTTTTGGGTTCAGAGATCAGGGTCGAATTCTCCAAGTACTGAGAGAAAAAAAAACGGCCCAAGGGATGACTGCTGTGCGTGTAGTGGGCTTTGGATAAAGCCCCCTCACACCTGTGCAGCTGGACCCTCGTGCAAAATACGACCATGACCTGCCAAGCTCCGAGCGAGGAAAGTACAACTGGACGGCTGGTCAGCAGCATGGCCTGGGAGACAACAGCAAAAGAAAACCATCTTTGCGCAACAAGTGCGCAAGAACATGAAAATCATGAAACATAAGTACATGTAGCAAAGTTCAACCGTTGTTGCGAAAATTCCACTGACAACCGAAGGAAACGACACAATCACGAAGCTGACCCAATCAAGATAGTCAATTCCAACATGTCCAGCAATATGACGCGCAGGACACCTGAACAAGCCTACAGGCCGGCTAGACTTGCCGAGCTATTCTTCTCCAGGCCCTTGCTAGAAGCCAGCGGCGACTTTTCAACCATCAGCGTCGCTGTCTGCGGAGTCTTGAAACGGGTCGAAAGCGCCGCACGATGGAAACTCAAGAAGCGAGAGTCGAAAAGGGTTGCGCGCCAGTGTTCGGCGGCACCAGACGGGTCTGTCAGTCTGTTGCTCAAGGCCTGCTGAAGGCACTGGCATGCGACGAAACTTGAAACTCGAGGTCCAGTGGGCTCGTGTGCGCCGCGCGCCACAGTCTGTACGCCCTGGAGATCGGAAGGGAACACCTGGGTGATATCCTTCTCTGGTCGACGTGCCCCAATCCACACTCTAACGCGTCATTTCGCACATCTGATTGTCGCACTTTGCATGGTGTAAGCCTATGCCTATACCGGCTTGAACGGCTCGTGCTACCAGAGGCATCGTCACACAACGTAGCTGGGTGCAGCGTGGTGCAGGGCGCACCCGGCTGCTGCTCACATGAACTGTCTCGGCCCGGCCATGCCTTCAGACAAACGTATGCCGAACATATGCCATATGCAAACATCAGACGTCACCGCTACATTGACGCGCCAACGACGTCCATGTCCGTAGTTTAGTCGGGCCCTTGGCATCAGAATAGCGCGAGGCTTGCAACCAGAGCTCACCGCACGTGATTCACAAGCTAACTGGGCTTCGATAGTTCAGGGATGTTGAGGATGTTTGGGAAATTGCGGTGGCTCTTAAGCGTCAGCTTCGCGGTAAGAGGAAGAGTCCAGAATTGGGCTCCTGGGCTCCACCCCTGGAACTGGAACTAGGCATTGCTCATGCTCTCATGGCACCACGCAGCCTCAGAGCGACTTGCGAAGCGCGATGACAGCACTAGTCACGGCCACCAGGGCAGAGGCAGCCACGGCTGGCTGCTCTTCAATCCAGCCGAACATCTTCTGGCTGGATGTCTTCTGGATCTTGCCCTGGCTCAGTTGGCTGAGGTCCTCCTTCATGCGTGCAGTACGCAGGGAGGCCTGCGACCTCGTCTCGTCGGTGGTGTTGCGGCTGAACTCCGGGTCAGGCTCCAGCTCGGGAGCAAAGGAACGCGCTGGGCGCTGCATTGGTTGCTCCACGAACTTCTGCGTCCGCTCCATGATGCAGAGGCCGGGGCCATCGAAGCTCTGCGGGCGCCTCAAGCTTGAGGTACCCGGCCCGCAGAGATGCAAACAGCCGTCTTCGAACTTGAAGATGTAGGGGATGGCGGGTGGTGGGCAGCTGCTCCCACTAGGAATCACCTGGATGTCCAGGTGGCCTTTGGATGCGTCCATACGGAAGGTGGCCGACAGCGTCTGCCCCATGACGGTGATGTTGGCATGCAAGCAGTCGTTCAGGAACTCGATTCGCTGGCGATAGCCGCCCAAGGCCTTGGCCACGTTGCCTTCCCAAACGCCCACGACGCGCGCGTCGAAGGCCACGGCACCCACGGCGACCTGCGCAAAGGCGCCCAGGTGCGACATGGTTTCCTGGGCTGGAGAGCACGCAGCGACAAAGTTTGGAATGTTTTGGAGAAGGCTGATGTCTTGTCATGTCTTGCCAGAGCTTACCTACCTATCACATCAAAATCATATCCTGTCCCCTGCGAAGTCTTTCTGGCTGGACTCGTCAGAAGCGGTGTGGCCCCAGTACTCGCTGGCCTCGTCAGTGAACTCCGGGGTGCCAAGCATGCCCGATGCCCCGAGCTTGGTGAGGTCCGCGAGGTTGGCGACAATGCCGTGCGAGGAGCCCTCGCTTGTGGGATTGGCAGTGGATCCGCCCATGGAGCTTTGTCCTGCCTTGAACGTCTCGAAGTTCGTCACTGCTGCTGCCGCGGGCTCCTCCTGATCGTTCGGGCCTTCGGTGGCGATCTGGAAGGCAGCGACCAGCTGACGCTCCTTGCCCAAGCTGAGCGCCGAGCGCGGCACGACGGACAGGTGGAGCGTGGTGTTCAGCTTCTGCTGAGATTTCTGCTGGATCTTGCTGTGCAGCACTTGGGCGATTGGAGGCATTGCTCCAGAGTCACAGCTCCAGGAACCCTGTGTTGAGAGGGTGGCCGAGTTGAAAGCTTGCGGGCAGTCCGCCTGGCGCAGCACGTTCCGCACGTAAGCTGAGAAGTCTTTCTTCTGCTCGTCGCCGGCAAGCAGGTCCTTCAGGTTTGCACCCGACACGCCATAGCCGAGGATCTTCTCCAACTTTGTCATGTCGCCCGAATACTTGTCGGGAAGCTTGCAGCGGCCGGCAGCATCCAGCACGCACGGAAGAATGATGTCAAAGCTGCCCCTCAAGATAGAGATCATACCTGGACCACCGCTGGAGGAAAAGCTTTAGCGTGAAAAGCAGTGGATTGTTTGCGATTTTGGAAACCCATCTTGCAATGACATGTTGACATTGATTAAAATCTGCACCAGCAGATGCCCAGGGGCCAACATTGGAGACACTCACCTTGCGCAGCACGTCGGTCAGGGTCTTGTGGTACTCGTCTGCTCGGATGAACACGAAGGCCGCGCTGTAGGCGAGCTTGGCTCCGAAGGTCAAGGCAAAGAAGGACTTGCGCTCCGTGTGTGCATCCATGATGCCGACCACAGATGCCATGTACACCACACCGTACAGGAGCAAGTGCGCCACCAGGCCAGAAGAAAGGAAGGGCCGAAGGCTGCGGCTAGGAAGATCCATCGGCGCAGTTCTCTCGTAGGCCGAGCACCAGTTCAGCATGTCGTAAGAGGCCCAGGCGTACATGGCAAAGGACACTCCGATCAGAAACCACTTCAGGAAGGCACTCTCAGTCGCAGTGGCCACCCAACATAAGATGACGTAGACGTTGGTGACGATCAGCGGTCGAGACACCTCACGTAAAGGGCGCCCGAGCGTGCAGTATCCTGACAGGATCAGCATGATCGGGACGTTGATCCCCCACTCCATGTACTGCATCGTGTACACTGGGCGGCCAGGAGCTGTGAGGCCGTCGGCACTGGGCATGACGTGTGCGATGGTCCACTCTGCACGGGAGAAGAGGCGCTCGGCGGTCGCGAGCACGCCGAACATCACGGCCAGCAGCAGAGTGGGCAAGAAGCGGCTCTGCAGATGGGGCACCAGGGCTTGCGTCTCTTGAGCTCCCATGTAGGTAGCGATGAGGCTCAGCACCTCATGGCCCAGCATGGCCACCAATGCTGCAGCCGAGATCACGTGGTAGTAGCCAGGGTAAGTCTGCAGGTGCTTGGCACATGAAGGCACTTCATGGCAACTAACGGGTGCGGCCACCAGCCATGAGATCCCCCACGTGGCCAAAGTGATGGCCACCTGCCGATGCATGGAATGAATTGCGAACTTTCATCTGCCCGCTCTGAAGCCCTTTCTGGCATTACATCAAGCAGCAACAAAACCGAGCCAAGCCACCCAGATGCCGATGTTCGAGAGCAGTCCTGCTGCACCCCCAATCATGTTCAGTCGCTTCTTGGGACTTGGAGCTACATGTGAAGTACGGCAGAGGCTGCGATCAAAGTGAGCACAAGTCAAAGAGATTCGAAGCCAGTCCTTTGCCGGCCATGATTTGCGGTCTGCGAGGGTAGCAGTGGGTGCCAGTCTCACACAGAGCTTCAGCCAAAACACTTGCAGATCACTAGCAGATCACAATTGAAGCGGCCATTCTTCTCCGGGCCCTTGCTAGCAGCAAGCGGCGACTTTTCAACCATCAGCGTCGCTGTCTGCGGAGTCTTGAAACGGGTCGAAAGCGCCGCACGATGGAAAATCAAGAAGCGAGAGTCGAAAAAGGGTTGCGCGCCAGTTTTGAAATAGGCCCGCAGACAAGGCGGCACCAGGCGGCACCAGACGGGTCTGTCAGTCTGTTGCTCAAGGCCTGCTGAAGGAACTGGCATGCGCCGAAACTTGAAACTCGAGGTCCAGTGGGCTCGTGTGCGCCGCGCGTCACAGTCTGTACGCCCTGGAGATCGGAAGGGAACAACCATGGGTGATATCCTTCTCTGGTCGACGTGCCCCCATCCACACTCTAACGCGTCATTTCGCACATCTGACAGTCGCACTTTGCCACATGGCACATAGTGTAAGCCTATGTCTATACCTGCTTGAACGGCTCGTGCTACCAGAGGCATCGTCACACAACGTAGCTGGGTGCAGCGTGGTGCAGGGCGCACCCGGCTGCTCACATGAACTGTCTCGGCCCGGCCATGCCTTCAGACAAACGTATGCCGAACACATGCCATATGCAAACATCAGACGTCGCCGCTACATTGACGTGCCAACGATGTCCATGTCCGTAGTTTAGTCGGGCCCTTGGCATCAGAATGGCGCGAGGCTTGCAACAAGAGCTCGCCGCACGTGATTCACAAGCTAGCCGGGCTTCGATAGTAGTTCAGGGATGTTGAGGATGTTTGGGAAATTGCGGTGGCTCTTAAGCGTCAGCTTCGCGGTAAGAGGAAGAGTCCAGAATTGGGCTCCGGGCTCCACCCCTGGAACTGGAACTAGGCATTGCTCATGCTCTCATGGCACCACGCAGCCTCAGAGCGACTTGCGAAGCGCGATGACAGCACTAGTCACGGCGACCAGGGCAGAGGCAGCCACGGCTGGCTGCTCTTCAATCCAGCCGAACATCTTCTGGCTGGATGTCTTCTGGATCTTGCCCTGGCTCAGTTGGCTGAGGTCCTCCTTCAGGCGTGCAGTACGCAGGGAGGCCTGCGACCTCGTCTCGTCGGTGGTGTTGCGGCTAAACTCCGGGTCAGGCTCCAGCTCGGGAGCAAAGGAACGCGCTGGGCGCTGCATTGGCTGCTCCACGAACTTCTGCGTCCGCTCCATGATGCAGAGGCCGGGGCCATCGAAGCTCTGCGGGCGCCTCAAGCTTGAGGTACCCGGCCCGCAGAGATGCAAACAGCCGTCTTCGAACTTGAAGATGTATGGGATGGCGGGTGGTGGGCAGCTTGTCCCACTAGGAATCACCTGGATGTCCAGGTGGCCTTTTGATGCGTCCATGCGGAAGGTGGCCGACAGCGTCTGCCCCATGACGGTGATGTTGGCATGCAAGCAGTCGTTCAGGAACTCGATACGCTGGCGATAGCCGCCCAAGGCCTTGGCCACGTTGCCTTCCCAGACGCCCACGACGCGCGCGTCGAAGGCCACGGCACCCACGGCGACCTGCGCAAAGGCGCCCAGGTGGGACATGGTTTCCTGGGCTGGAGAGCACGCAGCGACAGAGTTTGGAATGCCTTGGAGAAGATTGATAACTTGCCAGAGCTTGCCTACCTATCACATCAGAATCACATCCTGTCCCCTGCGAAGTCTTTCTGGCTGGACTCGTCAGAAGCGGTGTGGCCCCAGTACTCGCTGGCCTCGTCAGTGAACTCCGGGGTGCCAAGCATGCCCGATGCCCCGAGCTTGGTGAGGTCCGCGAGGTTGGCGACAATGCCGTGCGAGGAGCCCTCGCTTGTGGGATTGGCAGTGGATCCGCCCATGGAGCTTTGTCCTGCCTTGAACGTCTCGAAGTTTGTCACTGCTGCTGCCGCGGGCTCCTCCTGATCGTTCGGGCCTTCGGTGGCGATCTGGAAGGCAGCGACCAGCTGACGCTCCTTGCCCAAGCTGAGCGCCGAGCGCGGCACGACGGACAGGTGGAGCGTGGTGTTCAGCTTCTGCTGAGATTTCTGCTGGATCTTGCTGTGCAGCACTTGGGCGATAGGAGGCATTGCTCCAGAGTCACAGCTCCAGGCACCCTGTGTTGAGAGGGTGGCCGAGTTGAAAGCTTGCGGGCAGTCCGCCTGGCGCAGCACGTTCCGCACGTAAGCTGAGAAGTCTTTCTTCTGCTCGTCGCCGGCAAGCAGGTCCTTCAGGTTTGCACCCGACACGCCATAGCCGAGGATCTTCTCCAACTTTGTCATGTCGCCCGAATACTTGTCGGGAAGCTTGCAGCGGCCGGCAGCATCCAGCACGCACGGAAGAATGATGTCAAAGCTGCCCCTCAAGATAGAGATCATACCTGGACCATCGCTTAAGGAAAAGCTTTAGTGTGAAGAGCAGTGGATTGTTTGAGATTTTGGAAACCCAACTTGCAATGACATGTTGACATTGATTAAAATCTGCACCAACAGATGTCCAGGGACCAACATTGGAGACACTCACCTTGCGTAGCACGTCGGTCAGGGTCTTGTGGTACTCGTCTGCTCGGATGAACACGAAGGCCGCGCTGTAGGCGAGCTTGGCTCCGAAGGTCAAGGCAAAGAAGGACTTGCGCTCCGTGTGTGCATCCATGATGCCGACCACAGATGCCATGTACACCACACCGTACAGGAGCAAGTGCGCCACCAGGCCAGAAGAAAGGAAGGGCCGAAGGCTGCGGCTAGGAAGATCCATCGGCGCAGTTCTCTCGTAGGCCGAGCACCAGTTCAGCATGTCGTAAGAGGCCCAGGCGTACATGGCAAAGGACACTCCGATCAGAAACCACTTCAGGAAGGCACTCTCAGTCGCAGTGGCCACCCAACATAAGATGACGTAGACGTTGGTGACGATCAGCGGTCGAGACACCTCACGTAAAGGGCGCCCGAGCGTGCAGTATCCTGACAGGATCAGCATGATCGGGACGTTGATCCCCCACTCCATGTACTGCATCGTGTACACTGGGCGGCCAGGAGCTGTGAGGCCGTCGGCACTGGGCATGACGTGCGCGATGGTCCACTCTGCACGGGAGAAGAGGCGCTCGGCGGTCGCGAGCACGCCGAACATCACGGCCAGCAGCAGAGTGGGCAAGAAGCGGCTCTGCAGATGGGGCACCAGGGCTTGCGTCTCTTGAGCTCCCATGTAGGTAGCGATGAGGCTCAGCACCTCATGGCCCAGCATGGCCACCAATGCTGCAGCCGAGATCACGTGGTAGTAGCCAGGGTAAGTCTGCAGGTGCTTGGCACATGAAGGCACTTCATGGCAACTAACGGGTGCGGCCACCAGCCATGAGATCCCCCACGTGGCCAAAGTGATGGCCACCTGCCGATGCATGGAATGAATTGCGAACTTTCACATGCCCGCTCTGAAGCCCTTTCTGGCATTACATCAAGCAGCAACAAAACCGAGCCAAGCCACCCAGATGCCGATGTTCGAGAGCAGTCCTGCTGCACCCCCAATCATGTTCAGTCGCTTCTTGGGACTTGGCGAGCTACATGTGAAGTACGGCAGAGGCTGCGATCAAAGTGAGCACAAGTCAAAGAGATTCGAAGCCAGTCCTTTGCCGGCCATGATTTGCGGTCTGCGAGGGCAGCAGTGGGTGCCAGTCTCACACAGAGCTTCAGCCAAAACACTTGCAGATCACTTAGCAGATCACAATTGAAGCGGCCATTCTTCTCCAGGCCCTTGCTAGCAGCAAGCTGCGACTTTTCAACCATCAGCGTCGCTGTCTGCGAAGTCTTGAAACGGGAAACGGGTCGAAAGCGCCGCGCGATGGAAAATCAAGAAGCGAGAGTCGAAAAAGGGTTGCGCGCCAGTTTTGAAATAGGCCCGCAGACAAGGCGGCACCAGGCGGCACCAGACGGGTCTGTCCGTCTGTTGCTCAAGGCCTGCTGAAGGCACTGGCATGCGCCGAAACTTGAAACTCGAGGTCCAGTGGGCTCGTGTGCGCCGCGCGTCACAGTCTGTACGCCCTGGAGATCGGTAGGGAACATGGTGATGTCCTTCTCTGGCTGACGTGCCCCCATCCACATTCTAACCCGTCATTTCGCACATCTGATAGTCGCACTTTGCCACATGGCATACAGTGTAAGCCTATGCCTATACAGGCTTGAATGGCTCGTGCTACCAGAGGCATCATCACACAACGTAGCTGGGTGCAGCGTGGTGCAGGCGCACCGGCTGCTGCTCACATGAACCGTCTCGGCCCGGCCATGCCTTCAGACAAACATATGCAGAACATATGCAAACATCAGACGTCGCCGCTACATTGACGTGCCAACGATGTCCATGTCCGTAGTTTAGTCGGGCCCTTGGCATCAGAATGGCGCGAGGCTTGCAACAAGAGCTCACTGCACGTGATTCACAAGCTAGCCGGGCTTCGATAGTAGTTCAGGGATGTTGAGGATGTTTGGGAAATTGCGGTGGCTCTTAAGCGTCAGCTTCGCGGTAAGAGGAAGAGTCCAGAATTGGGCTCCTGGGCTCCACCCCTGGAACTGGAACTAGGCATTGCTCATGCTCTCATGGCACCACGCAGCCTCAGAGCGACTTGCGAAGCGCGATGACAGCACTAGTCACGGCGACCAGGGCAGAGGCAGCCACGGCTGGCTGCTCTTCAATCCAGCCGAACATCTTCTGGCTGGATGTCTTCTGGATCTTGCCCTGGCTCAGTTGGCTGAGGTCCTCCTTCAGGCGTGCAGTGCGCAGGGAGGCCTGCGACCTCGTCTCGTCGGTGGTGTTGCGGCTGAACTCCGGGTCAGGCTCCAGCTCGGGAGCAAAGGAACGCGCTGGGCGCTGCATTGGCTGCTCCACGAACTTCTGCGTCCGCTCCATGATGCAGAGGCCGGGGCCGTCGAAGCTCTGCGGGCGCCTCAAGCTTGAGGTACCCGGCCCGCAGAGATGCAAACAGCCGTCTTCGAACTTGAAGATGTATGGGATGGCGGGTGGTGGGCAGCTGCTCCCACTAGGAATCACCTGGATGTCCAGGTGGCCTTTGGATGCGTCCATGCGGAAGGTGGCCGACAGCGTCTGCCCCATGACGGTGATGTTGGCATGCAAGCAGTCGTTCAGGAACTCGATACGCTGGCGATAGCCGCCCAAGGCCTTGGCCACGTTGCCTTCCCAGACACCCACGACGCGCGCGTCGAAGGCCACGGCACCCACGGCGACCTGCGCAAAGGCGCCCAGGTGGGACATGGTTTCCTGGGCTGGAGAGCACGTAGCGACAAAGTTTTGTTTTGGAGCAGACTGATGTCTTGCCATGTCTTGCCATGTCTTGCCAGAGCTTACCTACCTGCCACATCAGAAATCATCAGAATCACATCCTGTCCCCTGCGAAGTCTTTCTGGCTGGACTCGTCAGAAGCGGTGTGGCCCCAGTACTCGCTGGCCTCGTCAGTGAACTCCGGGGTGCCAAGCATGCCCGATGCCCCGAGCTTGGTGAGGTCCGCGAGGTTGGCGACAATGCCGTGCGAGGAGCCCTCGCTTGTGGGATTGGCAGTGGATCCGCCCATGGAGCTTTGTCCTGCCTTGAACGTCTCGAAGTTTGTCACTGCTGCTGCCGCGGGCTCCTCCTGATCGTTCGGGCCTTCGGTGGCGATCTGGAAGGCGGCGACCAGCTGACGCTCCTTGCCCAAGCTGAGTGCCGAGCGCGGCACGACGGACAGGTGGAGCGTGGTGTTCAGCTTCTGCTGAGATTTCTGCTGGATCTTGCTGTGCAGCACTTGGGCGATAGGAGGCATTGCTCCAGAGTCACAGCTCCAGGCACCCTGTGTTGAGAGGGTGGCCGAGTTGAAAGCTTGCGGGCAGTCCGCCTGGCGCAGCACGTTCCGCACGTAAGCTGAGAAGTCTTTCTTCTGCTCGTCGCCGGCAAGCAGGTCCTTCAGGTTTGCACCCGACACGCCATAGCCGAGGATCTTCTCCAACTTTGTCATGTCGCCCGAATACTTGTCGGGAAGCTTGCAGCGGCCGGCAGCATCCAGCACGCACGGAAGAATGATGTCAAAGCTGCCCCTCAAGATAGAGATCATACCTGGACCACCGCTGGAGGAAAAGCTTTAGCGTGAAAAGCAGTGGATTGTTTGCGATTTTGGAAACCCAACTTGCAATGACATGTTGACATTGATTAAAATCTGCACCAGCAGATGCCCAGGGGCCAACATTGGAGACACTCACCTTGCGCAGCACGTCGGTCAGGGTCTTGTGGTACTCGTCTGCTCGGATGAACACGAAGGCCGCGCTGTAGGCGAGCTTGGCTCCGAAGGTCAAGGCAAAGAAGGACTTGCGCTCCGTGTGTGCATCCATGATGCCGACCACAGATGCCATGTACACCACACCGTACAGGAGCAAGTGCGCCACCAGGCCAGAAGAAAGGAAGGGCCGAAGGCTGCGGCTAGGAAGATCCATCGGCGCAGTTCTCTCGTAGGCCGAGCACCAGTTCAGCATGTCGTAAGAGGCCCAGGCGTACATGGCAAAGGACACTCCGATCAGAAACCACTTCAGGAAGGCACTCTCAGTCGCAGTGGCCACCCAACATAAGATGACGTAGACGTTGGTGACGATCAGCGGTCGAGACACCTCACGTAAAGGGCGCCCGAGCGTGCAGTATCCTGACAGGATCAGCATGATCGGGACGTTGATCCCCCACTCCATGTACTGCATCGTGTACACTGGGCGGCCAGGAGCTGTGAGGCCGTCGGCACTGGGCATGACGTGTGCGATGGTCCACTCTGCACGGGAGAAGAGGCGCTCGGCGGTCGCGAGCACGCCGAACATCACGGCCAGCAGCAGAGTGGGCAAGAAGCGGCTCTGCAGATGGGGCACCAGGGCTTGCGTCTCTTGAGCTCCCATGTAGGTAGCGATGAGGCTCAGCACCTCATGGCCCAGCATGGCCACCAATGCTGCAGCCGAGATCACGTGGTAGTAGCCAGGGTAAGTCTGCAGGTGCTTGGCACATGAAGGCACTTCATGGCAACTAACGGGTGCGGCCACCAGCCATGAGATCCCCCACGTGGCCAAAGTGATGGCCACCTGCCGATGCATGGAATGAATTGCGAACTGGCACATGCCCGCTCTGAAGCCCTCTGGCATTACATCAAGCAGCAACAAAACCGAGCCAAGCCACCCAGATGCCGATGTTCGAGAGCAGTCCTGCTGCACCCCCAATCATGTTCAGTCGCTTCTTGGGACTTGGAGCTACATGTGAAGTACGGCAGAGGCTGCGATCAAAGTGAGCACAAGTCAAAGAGATTCGAAGCCAGTCCTTTGCCGGCCATGATTTGCGGTCTGCGAGGGTAGCAGTGGGTGCCAGTCTCACACAGAGCTTCAGCCAAAACACTTGCAGATCACTAGCAGATCACAATTGAAGCGGCCATTCTTCTCCAGGCCCTTGCTAGCAGCAAGCGGCGACTTTTCAACCATCAGCGTGCTGTCTGCGGAGTCTTGAAACGGGTCGAAAGCGCCGCACGATGGAAAATCAAGAAGCGAGAGTCGAAAAAGGGTTGCGCGCCAGTTTTGAAATAGGCCCGCAGACAAGGCGGCACCAGGCGGCACCAGACGGGTCTGTCAGTCTGTTGCTCAAGGCCTGCTGAAGGCACTGGCATGCGCCGAAACTTGAAACTCGAGGTCCAGTGGGCTCGTGTGCGCCGCGCGTCACAGTCTGTACGCCCTGGAGATCGGAAGGGAACAACCATGGGTGATATCCTTCTCTGGTCGACGTGCCCCCATCCACACTCTAACGCGTCATTTCGCACATCTGATTGTCGCACTTTGCCACATGGCACATAGTGTAAGCCTATGCCTATACCGGCTTGAAGGGCTCGTGCTACCAGAGGCATCGTCACACAACGTAGCTGGGTGCAGCGTGGTGCAGGGCGCACCCGGCTGCTGCTCACATGAACTGTCTCGGCCCGGCCATGCCTTCAGACGTCTTCAGACAAACACATGCAGAACATATGCAAACATCAGACGTCACCGCTACACTGACGTGCCAACGACGTCCACGTCTGTAGTTTAGTCGGGCCCTTGGCATCAGAATAGCGCGAGGCTTGTAACAAGAGCTCGCCGCACGTGATTCACAAGCTAGCCGCGCTTCGATAGTTCAGGGATGTTGAGGATGTTTGGGAAATTGCGGTGGCTCTTAAGCGTCAGCTTCGCGGTAAGAGGAAGAGTCCAGAATTGGGCTCCTGGGCTCCACCCCTGGAACTGGAACTAGGCATTGCTCATGCTCTCATGGCACCACGCAGCCTCAGAGCGACTTGCGAAGCGCGATGACAGCACTAGTCACGGCGACCAGGGCAGAGGCAGCTACGGCTGGCTGCTCTTCAATCCAGCCGAACATCTTCTGGCTGGATGTCTTCTGGATCTTGCCCTGGCTCAGTTGGCTGAGGTCCTCCTTCATGCGTGCAGTACGCAGGGAGGCCTGCGACCTCGTCTCGTCGGTGGTGTTGCGGCTAAACTCCGGGTCAGGCTCCAGCTCGGGAGCAAAGGAACGCGCTGGGCGCTGCATTGGTTGCTCCACGAACTTCTGCGTCCGCTCCATGATGCAGAGGCCGGGGCCATCGAAGCTCTGCGGGCGCCTCAAGCTTGAGGTGCCCGGCCCGCAGAGATGCAAACAGCCGTCTTCGAACTTGAAGATGTAGGGGATGGCGGGTGGTGGGCAGCTGCTCCCACTAGGAATCACCTGGATGTCCAGGTGGCCTTTGGATGCGTCCATACGGAAGGTGGCCGACAGCGTCTGCCCCATGACGGTGATGTTGGCATGCAAGCAGTCGTTCAGGAACTCGATACGCTGGCGATAGCCGCCCAAGGCCTTGGCCACGTTGCCTTCCCAAACGCCCACGACGCGCGCGTCGAAGGCCACGGCACCCACGGCGACCTGCGCAAAGGCGCCCAGGTGCGACATGGTTTCCTGGGCTGGAGAGCACGCAGCGACAAAGTTTGGAACGTTTTGGAGAAGGCTGATGTCTTGCCATGTCTTGCCAGAGCTTACCTACCTATCACATCAGAATCACATCCTGTCCCCTGCGACGTCTTTCTGGCTGGACTCGTCAGAAGCGGTGTGGCCCCAGTACTCGCTGGCCTTGTCAGTGAACTCCGGGGTGCCAAGCATGCCCGATGCCCCGAGCTTGGTGAGGTCCGCGAGGTTGGCGACAATGCCGTGCGAGGAGCCCTCGCTTGTGGGATTGGCAGTGGATCCGCCCATGGAGCTTTGTCCTGCCTTGAACGTCTCGAAGTTTGTCACTGCTGCTGCCGCGGGCTCCTCCTGATCGTTCGGGCCTTCGGTGGCGATCTGGAAGGCAGCGACCAGCTGACGCTCCTTGCCCAAGCTGAGCGCCGAGCGCGGCACGACGGACAGGTGGAGCGTGGTGTTCAGCTTCTGCTGAGATTTCTGCTGGATCTTGCTGTGCAGCACTTGGGCGATAGGAGGCATTGCTCCAGAGTCACAGCTCCAGGCACCCTGTGTTGAGAGGGTGGCCGAGTTGAAAGCTTGCGGGCAGTCCGCCTGGCGCAGCACGTTCCGCACGTAAGCTGAGAAGTCTTTCTTCTGCTCGTCGCCGGCAAGCAGGTCCTTCAGGTTTGCACCCGACACGCCATAGCCGAGGATCTTCTCCAACTTTGTCATGTCGCCCGAATACTTGTCGGGAAGCTTGCAGCGGCCGGCAGCATCCAGCACGCACGGAAGAATGATGTCAAAGCTGCCCCTCAAGATAGAGATCATACCTGGACCACCGCTGGAGGAAAAGCTTTAGCGTGAAAAGCAGTGGATTGTTTGCGATTTTGGAAACCCAACTTGCAATGACATGTTGACATTGATTAAAATCTGCACCAGCAGATGCCCAGGGGCCAACATTGGAGACACTCACCTTGCGCAGCACGTCGGTCAGGGTCTTGTGGTACTCGTCTGCTCGGATGAACACGAAGGCCGCGCTGTAGGCGAGCTTGGCTCCGAAGGTCAAGGCAAAGAAGGACTTGCGCTCCGTGTGTGCATCCATGATGCCGACCACAGATGCCATGTACACCACACCGTACAGGAGCAAGTGCGCCACCAGGCCAGAAGAAAGGAAGGGCCGAAGGCTGCGGCTAGGAAGATCCATCGGCGCAGTTCTCTCGTAGGCCGAGCACCAGTTCAGCATGTCGTAAGAGGCCCAGGCGTACATGGCAAAGGACACTCCGATCAGAAACCACTTCAGGAAGGCACTCTCAGTCGCAGTGGCCACCCAACATAAGATGACGTAGACGTTGGTGACGATCAGCGGTCGAGACACCTCACGTAAAGGGCGCCCGAGCGTGCAGTATCCTGACAGGATCAGCATGATCGGGACGTTGATCCCCCACTCCATGTACTGCATCGTGTACACTGGGCGGCCAGGAGCTGTGAGGCCGTCGGCACTGGGCATGACGTGTGCGATGGTCCACTCTGCACGGGAGAAGAGGCGCTCGGCGGTCGCGAGCACGCCGAACATCACGGCCAGCAGCAGAGTGGGCAAGAAGCGGCTCTGCAGATGGGGCACCAGGGCTTGCGTCTCTTGAGCTCCCATGTAGGTAGCGATGAGGCTCAGCACCTCATGGCCCAGCATGGCCACCAATGCTGCAGCCGAGATCACGTGGTAGTAGCCAGGGTAAGTCTGCAGGTGCTTGGCACATGAAGGCACTTCATGGCAACTAACGGGTGCGGCCACCAGCCATGAGATCCCCCACGTGGCCAAAGTGATGGCCACCTGCCGATGCATGGAATGAATTGCGAACTTTCACATGCCCGCTCTGAAGCCCTTTCTGGCATTACATCAAGCAGCAACAAAACCGAGCCAAGCCACCCAGATGCCGATGTTCGAGAGCAGTCCTGCTGCACCCCCAATCATGTTCAGTCGCTTCTTGGGACTTGGAGCTACATGTGAAGTACGGCAGAGGCTGCGATCAAAGTGAGCACAAGCCAAAGAGATTCGAAGCCAGTCCTTTGCCGGCCATGATTTGCGGTCTGCGAGGGTAGCAGTGGGTGCCAGTCTCACACAGAGCTTCAGCCAAAACCCTTGCAGATCACTTAGCAGATCACAATTGAAGCGGCCATTCTTCTCCAGGCCCTTGCTAGCAGCAAGCGGCGACTTTTCAACCATCAGCGTCGCTGTCTGCGAAGTCTTGAAACGGGAAACGGGTCGAAAGCGCCGCGCGATGGAAAATCAAGAAGCGAGAGTCGAAAAAGGGTTGCGCGCCAGTTTTGAAATAGGCCCGCAGACAAGGCGGCACCAGGCGGCACCAGACGGGTCTGTCCGTCTGTTGCTCAAGGCCTGCTGAAGGCACTGGCATGCGCCGAAACTTGAAACTCGAGGTCCAGTGGGCTCGTGTGCGCCGCGCGTCACAGTCTGTACGCCCTGGAGATCGGTAGGGAACATGGTGATGTCCTTCTCTGGCTGACGTGCCCCCATCCACATTCTAACCCGTCATTTCGCACATCTGATAGTCGCACTTTGCCACATGGCATACAGTGTAAGCCTATGCCTATACAGGCTTGAATGGCTCGTGCTACCAGAGGCATCATCACACAACGTAGCTGGGTGCAGCGTGGTGCAGGCGCACCGGCTGCTGCTCACATGAACCGTCTCGGCCCGGCCATGCCTTCAGACAAACACATGCAGAACATATGCAAACAGACGTCGCCGCTACATTGACGTGCCAACGATGTCCATGTCCGTAGTTTAGTCGGGCCCTTGGCATCAGAATGGCGCGAGGCTTGCAACAAGAGCTCGCCGCACGTGATTCACAAGCTAGCCGGGCTTCGATAGTAGTTCAGGGATGTTGAGGATGTTTGGGAAATTGCGGTGGCTCTTAAGCGTCAGCTTCGCGGTAAGAGGAAGAGTCCAGAATTGGGCTCCTGGGCTCCACCCCTGGAACTGGAACTAGGCATTGCTCATGCTCTCATGGCACCACGCAGCCTCAGAGCGACTTGCGAAGCGCGATGACAGCACTAGTCACGGCGACCAGGGCAGAGGCAGCCACGGCTGGCTGCTCTTCAATCCAGCCGAACATCTTCTGGCTGGATGTCTTCTGGATCTTGCCCTGGCTCAGTTGGCTGAGGTCCTCCTTCAGGCGTGCAGTACGCAGGGAGGCCTGCGACCTCGTCTCGTCGGTGGTGTTGCGGCTGAACTCCGGGTCAGGCTCCAGCTCGGGAGCGGAACGCAAACGTGCTGGCCGCTCCATTGGCTGCTCCACGAACTTCTGCGTCCGCTCCATGATGCAGAGGCCGGGGCCATCGAAGCTCTGCGGGCGCCTCAAGCTTGAGGTACCCGGCCCGCAGAGATGCAAACAGCCGTCTTCGAACTTGAAGATGTAGGGGATGGCGGGTGGTGGGCAGCTGCTCCCACTAGGAATCACCTGGATGTCCAGGTGGCCTTTGGATGCGTCCATACGGAAGGTGGCCGACAGCGTCTGCCCCATGACGGTGATGTTGGCATGCAAGCAGTCGTTCAGGAACTCGATACGCTGGCGATAGCCGCCCAAGGCCTTGGCCACGTTGCCTTCCCAGACGCCCACGACGCGCGCGTCGAAGGCCACGGCACCCACGGCGACCTGCGCAAAGGCGCCCAGGTGGGACATGGTTTCCTGGGCTGGAGAGCACGCAGCGACAAAGTTTTGTTTTGGAGCAGACTGATGTCTTGCCATGTCTTGCCATGTCTTGCCAGAGCTTACCTACCTGCCACATCAGAAATCATCAGAATCACATCCTGTCCCCTGCGAAGTCTTTCTGGCTGGACTCGTCAGAAGCGGTGTGGCCCCAGTACTCGCTGGCCTCGTCAGTGAACTCCGGGGTGCCAAGCATGCCCGATGCCCCGAGCTTGGTGAGGTCCGCGAGGTTGGCGACAATGCCGTGCGAAGAGCCCTCACTTGTGGGATTGGCAGTGGATCCGCCCAAGGAGCTTTGTCCTGCCTTGAACGTCTCGAAGTTTGTCACAGCTGCTGCCGCGGGCTCCTCCTGATCGTTCGGGCCTTCGGTGGCGATCTGGAAGGCAGCGACCAGCTGACGCTCCTTGCCCAAGCTGAGCGCCGAGCGCGGCACGACGGACAGGTGGAGCGTGGTGTTCAGCTTCTGCTGAGATTTCTGCTGGATCTTGCTGTGCAGCACTTGGGCGATAGGAGGCATTGCTCCAGAGTCACAGCTCCAGGCACCCTGTGTTGAGAGGGTGGCCGAGTTGAAAGCTTGCGGGCAGTCCGCCTGGCGCAGCACGTTCCGCACGTAAGCTGAGAAGTCTTTCTTCTGCTCGTCGCCGGCAAGCAGGTCCTTCAGGTTTGCACCCGACACGCCATAGCCGAGGATCTTCTCCAACTTTGTCATGTCGCCCGAATACTTGTCGGGAAGCTTGCAGCGGCCGGCAGCATCCAGCACGCACGGAAGAATGATGTCAAAGCTGCCCCTCAAGATAGAGATCATACCTGGACCATCGCTTAAGGAAAAGCTTTAGTGTGAAGAGCAGTGGATTGTTTGAGATTTTGGAAACCCAACTTGCAATGACATGTTGACATTGATTAAAATCTGCACCAACAGATGTCCAGGGACCAACATTGGAGACACTCACCTTGCGTAGCACGTCGGTCAGGGTCTTGTGGTACTCGTCTGCTCGGATGAACACGAAGGCCGCGCTGTAGGCGAGCTTGGCTCCGAAGGTCAAGGCAAAGAAGGACTTGCGCTCCGTGTGTGCATCCATGATGCCGACCACAGATGCCATGTACACCACACCGTACAGGAGCAAGTGCGCCACCAGGCCAGAAGAAAGGAAGGGCCGAAGGCTGCGGCTAGGAAGATCCATCGGCGCAGTTCTCTCGTAGGCCGAGCACCAGTTCAGCATGTCGTAAGAGGCCCAGGCGTACATGGCAAAGGACACTCCGATCAGAAACCACTTCAGGAAGGCACTCTCAGTCGCAGTGGCCACCCAACATAAGATGACGTAGACGTTGGTGACGATCAGCGGTCGAGACACCTCACGTAAAGGGCGCCCGAGCGTGCAGTATCCTGACAGGATCAGCATGATCGGGACGTTGATCCCCCACTCCATGTACTGCATCGTGTACACTGGGCGGCCAGGAGCTGTGAGGCCGTCGGCACTGGGCATGACGTGCGCGATGGTCCACTCTGCACGGGAGAAGAGGCGCTCGGCGGTCGCGAGCACGCCGAACATCACGGCCAGCAGCAGAGTGGGCAAGAAGCGGCTCTGCAGATGGGGCACCAGGGCTTGCGTCTCTTGAGCTCCCATGTAGGTAGCGATGAGGCTCAGCACCTCATGGCCCAGCATGGCCACCAATGCTGCAGCCGAGATCACGTGGTAGTAGCCAGGGTAAGTCTGCAGGTGCTTGGCACATGAAGGCACTTCATGGCAACTAACGGGTGCGGCCACCAGCCATGAGATCCCCCACGTGGCCAAAGTGATGGCCACCTGCCGATGCATGGAATGAATTGCGAACTTTCACATGCCCGCTCTGAAGCCCTTTCTGGCATTACATCAAGCAGCAACAAAACCGAGCCAAGCCACCCAGATGCCGATGTTCGAGAGCAGTCCTGCTGCACCCCCAATCATGTTCAGTCGCTTCTTGGGACTTGGAGCTACATGTGAAGTACGGCAGAGGCTGCGATCAAAGTGAGCACAAGCCAAAGAGATTCGAAGCCAGTCCTTTGCCGGCCATGATTTGCGGTCTGCGAGGGTAGCAGTGGGTGCCAGTCTCACACAGAGCTTCAGCCAAAACCCTTGCAGATCACTTAGCAGATCACAATTGAAGCGGCCATTCTTCTCCAGGCCCTTGCTAGCAGCAAGCGGCGACATTTCAAACCATCAGCGTCGCTGTCTGCGAAGTCTTGAAACGGGAAACGGGTCGAAAGCGCCGCGCGATGGAAAATCAAGAAGCGAGAGTCGAAAAAGGGTTGCGCGCCAGTTTTGAAATAGGCCCGCAGACAAGGCGGCACCAGGCGGCACCAGACGGGTCTGTCAGTCTGTTGCTCAAGGCCTGACTGGCATGCCACGAAACTTGAAACTCGAGGTCCAGTGGGCTCGTGTGCGCCGCTGGAGCTCGGCAGGGAACAACTTGGTGATGTCCTTCTCTGGCTGACATGCCCCCCCCCCCCTCCCCCTCTAATTAGCACATCTTCTTGTCGCACTTTGTCTAAGACCATTGCCGTCTCTACCGGGGCGTGCTAAGCTGCCACCAGAAGCGTGTCACAGAACGCAGATGGCTCCCGAGCGGATCCAGCATAGTGTGAAATGACATGTGCACAGGCTTGTTCTTGTGGACATGTTTGAAGGATTTAGGGCTTTGGGTTGTGTTGTATGTTTCGTGTTATCTTTTTTAAGGGTTGAAGGGTGTGAGGAGCAACGTGATGCTAGTAAGACGTGGATGGACTGTCTGTCTGCCTCACTTCAAACTCGTAGTGGCAAGATGAGCACAGAATCCGATTTTAGATGGCATTGATGACTAGTATGCCTTGGGATGTTCCCCCCTTTATACTTACAGTCCTTCATAGGGATTATCATAGGGGGTACTGTAATCCGAATTAAGGACTGTTAGGATAAAGGGGAACACCCCAAAGTATGCCATCTAAACCCTAAACCCTAAACCCTAAACCCTAAACCTCTTTCCCAGCTTCCAGTTTTCCTGCATCTCTGAGCCACCGGGCTGGCGGCACGGATGATGTCGAAGGCCTTCATCTCTCACGCATGCCGGGCCATCCCTACACCCTTAACCCTAAACCCCAAACCCTAAACGCTGTCTGAAATGGTCCATGATTCACCCTCATCTGCCTCGAAGCTCGTACTTCGTGAGCTGTTTGCTTGCCTTGCAAGCGGTTCAGCACGAACACGCCGGGTTCTGAAAGGCTTCACAGGGGCGTAGGCAAGCACAGCACACCTCTTGTTGGCATCTGAGTGCAAAGCATGCGGATCGAGTTTTGGATGTCCATGACGAAGGCAAGTCCTCTTTCGGAGCCGCTGGTGCTTAGACACTGCGAAGGCTTCGGACCCCAGCAACCTCCAGTCAAGAAGTATCCCGAAAGTCCCCCGTAGCTGCTCAAAAACGGCAAAGACCAGGTAGCTACCGATCGGAAGGATAGTGTACACACAAAGCCTGGCGCGCAGCAGGCGCTGCTCCGCGACGGCCACATTCTCGAGGCGATCTGACCCCAAGGAAGGAGATATAAGGAGATCATGAGTATGGCATCTTTGTTTCTTGGACATCTGTTGACGAAGCAGTCGCTTCGATTCCAAAAGCTCGTGTGAGGAGCATTCGCCGTTGTGAGACTTGTGAGGTCGTGCTCGGATGTTCAGATACATACATCAGGACCCTAAACCCTATACCCTAAACCCTAAACAGCCACCAGTTGGAACCCGAGGCCCAGTGCTCTTGGGGCTCGTGATGTACAGCCTGAAGTCCGTTTTTAGGGCATCTTGCCTTTTGAGACATGTCTCTGATTTTGGAGGTTTGCGCGCTTCTAGGCTGCCTTTATGCAACATAGACATGATAGGTGTCGAAGTTGGGCCCTGGAACGCAGGAAAGAACAGAATACCGGTCCTGCGAAGAAACTGTTGGCTTGGGCGTTTGCGCTGTGTTTGTGATTGCAAGGCTAGCCGAGGAAGTAGACAGCGCACAACCGCACAACCAACGACAAAACACTGCCACCACATCACCGACGATTTCGCGCGCACACCCGCGCACGCGAGCTTCTGACTTCTGAACTGGCCTCTGTCGGCTTGGAAGGCGCCTCCTATCGCAAGGCCTGGCACCCAATCCCTGCAAGTAACACACTCTCAACATCTCTCAACTCCAAGAACCTCAACACGCCCGCTACTTGCTACTTGTACCTACATCAGCGAACGGAGCGAACATCTGCAGGCACCCGAAGAGACCTAAAGTGACAACTCTGCCGGCAGCACGGAGCCGCGGCTGCCTTGCACATCGGAAGCCTGGCTTCGTCCTGGCTTTCTGGGGAGCCCGCGACTCACAAGCAGTGCCTCGTCTCTTTTTTTAATATGTAGGATGCACAAGGAATGGCGCAGCACCGGCATGTGAGCCTTGATCAGATGGCCTTCCAATCTACATTACCACCTTGCCGATGGGGCTCTGATGGCTGATGATGCTCGGTTCTCTGGTCCTCGCTGCCGTCGCCGGAGCCTCTGTCGTTTAAGATGGCGGGGCTCAAGGCTGTGCGAGTGCTGCGTGGGTGTACCCGGTGTGCCCCTGGGCCCTTGTCATTGTCACTCTGAGAGCCCCACCCGAAGTGTCAGAGCCGATCTCTGTCCTTGCAGGAACTTGCATGTTCAAAGGGAAGGGGGATTCGCCTCGCCGTCCCTTCAAACTGAGCTGTGGGCAAGCTTTCCTGACCTGCTGGTGCAGCATATATAAATAATTCAAAAAAAGGTAAATAAGTATATATATTTATTCATACTATGTGACCACAGTGCAGGCGAGTCTGCGGATTTTTTTTGGGGGCGGAGGGGGGGGGGTTTTGCCATGGTCCATCAGTGAGCCCTGAGTCACCGAGCGTCCGGCAACACAGGTTGCAAATGTACATCGTGGGCCCGGCAGGCTCCTCCAGGAGCTGTGTAGGTTTAGGGTTGAGGGTTTCTTTTTGGCACCCGCATAGCTAGGGTTTGGGGTTTAATTTGGGTTTTTTTGGGGGGTTTAGGGCTTAGGGCTAAAGCCTGGTGGCCGAGTATGGGGCCCCTTTCACATCAAGGAAACACAACTGTTTGCCCACGAGGCTTACAGATTTGAAGAGCAGCCTCCTCTTCCGGCAGCAGCTGCGCCTCCAACCAACCAAGCTAGATTAAGCTACAGCATGGCTTCTTCGGGGCGTTGAAAAGCGCAGCTTGAGACCCTCTTCTCTACGTGGTGACAGCATCGCTGAAGCCGGGCCAGATCGACTCCTGTTTGTAACTCTCCGGACCCTAAACCCTAAACCTTAAACCCTAAACCCTTTTACGGCTAGGACTGCTGCAAACACCCTAAACCCTAAACCCCAATTGCCTTCAGGTACTCTTGAGCTGCATCCATGGTCCTTGGCACAGTGCCCTGCTTGCATGCTACGGCTCTGACTGGACTGTGCTATAGCTGGCTGGTTCTTAGTAGGGAATGAAGGTCCCATAGATACAAGTAAACATATATATATATATATACCCTTTCAGGAAGGATTATATAGGGCCCTCATTCCCTACTCAGAACCAGCGGGGTAAGGCTTCAGCGGAAGGTGGTCAGATTGCCACAAGCCCGCCAAACGCTCACTTATGTGCCCTGGGAGCCAGAATATGCACATACCGCAAGTCAGAAGCAAGAACTGCAACGCCTTGCGTGCTCACAACTAGTGGCAAGGTCAACAGTTTAATGGGGCGGGTGAGACATGCGTGCATCTCTCTTGTCCCCGGCCTCTGCAAATCAGCAGCATCCTTATCGTAAACATCCTAGACCCGAGTCACGATACACTACTGCGCCCCAGCTTGATACTATTGAAATGCGCGCCCGTTTTCCCGAACCTCACGGTCGGGGAACTCACCCGCTCTGCAGCCCAGTTCCTGCTGCACCTTCGGGCATGAAGCCTCAAGTACCGACAGGAGCAGGCGGCCGAAAGTCCAGAGAAGAACGACAGCTTGGGCAGATTTACAGCTAGCTTGGCTTGCACAAGCTGTCGTCATGCTCCGGCATGCTATACAAACATTTCTCTCCACGTTCTGAAGGAAAGAGATCACACAGGTTGAAGTTACAGAAACAACAGAAACGTTTCAACCGCGTTGCTTCACAGCTGTACTTGCTAGCCAGAACCGTCATGGCACCATCTCTCTCCCCCAGAAGCACGTGCTGCAGCATACACTCGTGTGGTGCACTTGGCTAAGACTCGAGAAGCCCGTAAACCTTGACTGGGGCACGCAACGAACATGCTGGAACTGCCTGGGGTCTACTCCTTCTCAGTCAGTCATCTCACCAACGTCTTGGGCCATCATCTCCGAAGGCCACATGATCATGCCACTATCCTTTCCAGTTCAGTGCGCCCCTAAAGTCAAGATGCAGCACCCTTAACCCTAAAACCTAAACCCGAAACCCATCCCTCAAGATTACCCCTGCAGTGTGAGGAGAATTCCTCAAAGAATCCCACAAAGTATCCCTGGAGTACCCTGCCTCCCACAAAGTACCAAAGTATCCTAGAAAATATCCTCGGAGTGCCCGCCCCCAGAGAATCCTACTGTACAGAGCATCACTTGCATGCCAACCTTCCTGAGGAATCCTATAGTTACAGGGTTCTTAAGGGGGGGGTGGTTCAAGGGGGTCATGCAAACCCAAGGTTCCCTCATACTCCCCACTACTCCCGAGAATCTGAGAAGTGCCCACCCCTTGCACCCCGCAAAGAGAATAACTGGAGAATGAAATGGCACTTGCGGATGTTCGAAATAAAAAATAAGTATTGCCTGGGACATGTTTGCCGTTTTGCTGGGTGCTTCTTCCTAGAAAAGCCGCAAACTCAAAACAATAAACAAAAGCACAAACACTTCCCGGCAGTAGTCCTGCCGGTTCGGAGAAAAGCCTCACAAGTAGTGTTCATTTTTTGCTTCTTGTTTGTTTCTTTCGCCAGATGTGGGGTCTTCCGAGGGCAATGAATGCTGTGTTTTCGCGCGTCTTCCCCCTTGAGAAAGGCGCGTTACCATAGGCGGAAACTATGCCTTTTCTTACCAAGAGGTTCGCTACTACCATCGCCATCGGCGTGTCCTTGCGCACCATGGTGTACAAAAAGGCCAAACGCTGTAAATATAGCTGTGACCCGCGGCCCGCGCGTCTTGTTCCAGAAACGTCAAGCATCAATATCAACTGGCATCAAAGCTGTAAATACCCGTGTTTCGGACATGGCGACCATTGGAACCGACGTCATTCCCGCACCCCAACCCCACGGAATCATTCGAAATATCTTGAAGATGCTAAACAAGCACGACCAAACTACCAGGCGGGCTACGCGCCCGGCCCCAACTAGATGACCTAGATCTGGTTTAACGCGGGAACTCAGAGTTTTCGTTGTCTGCCAATCTCCGGGGCCATTAAATCTTTTCGTTTAAGAACTTTATTGTTGGCCTCCAGTTCTGTTGATTCAAGATGCCCCATGCAAGCTTTCAAGGAACCCAAGATTTCGAGACTTGAAGGGGTATAAGGAGGGAACCCTAGAAGGGACCCTTAATCTTATTCCCCTATACAACCCCGTATGTGTATATATCGTCCCGTCCAAGACAAAGAGACAAAAGAGAAGAACGCATGGCTTAGCCGTTAAGTTTTGTAAACGCTACCCCCTACAGTCCGACAACGCTCGTCTTTGTAACGATGTCTGCTCATGTGAGGTCGATACGTAAGTTGATGAGGACGCGAGTAACAGGTAGGTAACATGCATGCTGTATGCGTTCCTTATGTGATATAGCTCGACGACATCAGCGTGTGTTGCTGTCGAGATACCTGGGCAAGTATTGGAATACTGAAACCACTAACACACTAAACCATTCAACTATTGAACTCATCGACTCGGCCCTTAGGGAGGGAGAAGCAGCACTAAACCATTACATTGAACAATGAAGCCATTGATACGTCAAACCAATCGATCTGCCCATAGGGGGCGTGGAGCACCACTGAACCATTAAATCATTTCCCCATGAAACCCCAATAAGCCATTCAACCATGAAACCAAATCGATGTTACCCTGAACCCTAAAGCCTAAACCCTAAACCCCTAAACCCTAAACACCGCGCTCCTTCGCCGCAGCCTCCTGCTTCTTCTTGTAGGAGACCATCCTTGGCGCTGGAAAACTGTACTAAGACTATCTGGCGAGTGCAAACCTACTATTATGGATCCACTTTCCGCAATCTGGAGCCCAGGTTGCCTTTCAGCACATGACGCCGCAATTTTTTAGGCTGCATGGCTGCAGGCTTGGGAACTAGAGAGCTGTCCCCTCTCGCGCGGCTGCTTTCTGCTGCTGCTGCTGCCTCTTCCCCAGCTGAACACAAGAACGAACACACTTCTCTGTCCGAGTTACTCTTTGTCTGTCAGCAGGCATTCGTCCAGCCAAGCACGGATGGCCGCCTTGTCATGCAGACTGGGGAGTGAAATTGCAACAACCATCGCGTTGGCTTGGAGTCTGATCCTGACCGGTGGGCGTAGGTGCCCACAGTCTGTGTCAGAGTTGCAAAGTGCCACGAAGTCATACTTGCCAGCCATGAGCATTGGTCTCAACCAATGGGAGGAGCCTCATCTAGCTTCTGGCCGATAAACACGACCTCCTGCCGGCGGTCACCCCACTCATCATCCCAGTCCTGACAGTGCAGGAGATTGGCCGTAGTTGGCAAAAGCACCACAACTGCAAGTGCAAGAGGCCGCCGACGTACTTGCGCACATGTGGGCGCAAGAAACAAGACGACAGCCCCAGCGCTAGAAACTTCATATGCAACACTGGTCAGGCCTCACGTTTGGCCCTCTCATACTCGCCTGCAGCCATCTTCTGCATGATCTTGACCTGCACCGTGCATAAACGTGACACACGGTCGTCTCACACCAGTTCACCACATTGCGGGCAAACGCATGAGCTCCTTGCACGCAACTCACCCAGCGACCCATGATTCGACATGAAGCACTACCTGCACCGTCGCAGCTGCCTGTTCTTCCGACATTGCACCCCACCAAAAGCCATTGTAGGTGAGCTGCATATCCTTGCCGGCCTCCATTCTCATACACAGTCGATGTTTTCTTCGGTGCGTAGTAAGCTGTTCAATTTATCAACCTCTGCTTACCCAGTGGATCAGCGGTGTCCTCTTCATCCCGTACCAGCCCTCCCATGACTATGTGGCTACACCCTAGCATCTTTCTGCACCTTTCGTTTTGGACGCGGAAGGAAAGGAGACTCGGACAAGTCTAGTTTGTTGGGTTTATTCGAGAGCCTATTCCGTTTCTGTGAGGGGAAAGGCACGATCAGACTATGTGCTGAGAGTGTAACGGTCAACGCTACAGCTAGACCTGCACCCTGCGCAGTACAGATTCGGAGCCCTTTTGCCGTCTTTCCAAAACCAAGCAGAACCATCTCCTGAACATCTTGCAGGTCAGCGACATGGCTCCAATAGACGCGATTGGACGGCTGCGACTCCAACCAGCAGAAGCCCTTTGAACGAATGACTCGGGCCCTTGGTGTGCGAGCGCGCGTATCAATTTAGAAATTGCACTGGATGCCGCGAGAGAACCAATCACCCGGCGCAGCCATGCACCAACAAACTGCGGGAGATTCTTCGAATATCTTCGAATCATGGCGGCCAGGGCGCATGGGATGATCAGCACTGCTATCATCATCAGTCAGGGTGAGCTGCAAGTCGCTATGCTTTGGTATGGGCCACTTTTGCAGGGCCTCAGTTGCTCTGCACCTTCAACGTCTCACCACCGCACCACGTTCAGCCACTCACGGCAGCCATGATCGCATGGTAAGGTCTTGCACCTACCAGCCCGGCTTCTGTGCGAGCCCGCCTTCGTAAATCGTGCTTCGCTGAGAGGCCGCCGCGCAGTGTAAGTGAAAGATGTAATGCCGAACCGGTCCTGCGGCTGGAACCAGGGCGAAGGAATAGCGCTCATGCGCAGGGCCCTCTCCCTCTCTTGTTGTCATCTTGTTGTCATTCGTTCTCCCTCTTCCCTCCTTATCTCTCCCTCCTCTCCCCACCTCGTCGACGTCTGTGGTGACAAGCTACCACCCCTCACCACGCTAGAAATTCGCTGCTGAGGATTCGCACCCATTCCAACACTTCTGTGCTGGACTGCTGAACATGCCAATATTGTGACATCGAAGCACAGCAATCTTTGGACTTGTCCAAGCTCCAGCCACCCCTACTAACTTGCTATTTGTAGGTCATGGTGTCATGGCTACCAAGTGCATGGAGATGCTTGACACGCGCCCGCAACCCCCATTTGATAAAACATAGAATAATGCACAGACACACATATGCGCATGTACACACATATCTTCCGACCCCAGCCGGAGCGCGGGCTTTTGCGCCTTGGATGGTTCCTGGACACTGCCCCCCGCCGTTCTCATCGCTTCTCTCCCGCCCTTCTCCGAGCCCTGGTTCAAGTACATGGTAGCCCAGTAACCATATTATGATAAGGGCACCCTTTTTTGGGTTGGAATATTTATAAGGGAAACCATAAACCAAAAAAGGGTAAAGGGCACCACTGGGCTACCAAGAGTATAAATTTAATTCGGGCTGACCCTCACTTTGCCGAGGTACACCGTCACCCACAGTGCAGATGAGGTGTTGGAGGAGAAGAGACAACCCACGCAGACCTTCACAGGGTCTCAGACCTTCACAGGATCTACGGCCCACACTCACTCCGTGAACTGGTGGTCAGAGACAAGTTCTGGACGGACTTGGGCACTATGATCCAATCTCACCACCCCAGCACCCCGTTATTGGTGGTGGGGGCCGGGGACTTCAGTGCTCAACTGCTGGACCACAGGGACGAGCATCCCCACAATGGTCGGCCCACACGCCCAGTTTGACACACGAGCGCAAGAGGAAGATCGCCTCACACCGGCCCTCCCCCCCCACCCCGCCCAAAAAAATACCTCCCTAATCAACAGCCCCAAACCCTGCGCATAAATTCAACAACAACCCCCCCGCCCCCCCCCCCCCCCAACCGACCCTCCCCACATACCTTTGTAGTCGTTTACAAAGCTCCAGCCTCAGGGCTCGGGTCCAGCCCCCTGGCCTTTTCGGGTGGGCGGCACTGGCGGTAGCCGCTACATATTCATTTCCCTCTCTATTTACATGATATACACGCCTGAACGCCTGCGATGCCCTGTCCTCGGCAGTTGTTGTGCCATGGCTGTGGGAGTGCCCATGATCATGACCTCATGCTCGCGCAGTATCGTTTTCAACTTATCATTGCGATTGCGCGTATATCAAGAGGCAACTAAGCCTGGCCTTTTCAACTGGCACCTCAAGGAATACATGCGAACATGAAGTCGTGGCGAACAGCTTCTCCCATTTTCCAACACCCCTCACCTAGAGTATGGCTTCGAGGACTTGGGAGATCTTTGCCATTTCCATCAGCCCTTCCTAGCAACTTGGCACCAGAAACTGCGTTCCGTGGGATTTGGGCTCGGCTCTGAAGTCTGCTTTCACATGTTGGGGCCCAGACCATGGCTGGCGTCGGTGCAGTCTGGATCGCCTAAGCATTTGAGTGCAGAAAAGTGCAGAGAAAAGTCCTTGGCATCCTACATCGCAAGAGAAACCCAGATAATAAGCCCTCCATGCACTGCGAGGCTTTGCGCAGCCAGGCAGCTGCAGTCCTCCGCGTGGCTGTGGCTGTGGCCGTGACTGGCGTCAGTGCACTCCGGGTCGCTGCAGTCACTGGAATGGCTGTGTGCATGGCCATGGTCCTTCCAGGAAGCAGGACTTTAGACGACTTAGCTGCGCCCGTACGTGGACCGGTGCCCAGGAATGCGCCCTTGGCCATGTCTCTTTTCAATCTCTTTCTTTCACGTCTCATGTGTGTATGTGTGTATGTATGTATGTATGTACGTACGTATGTATGTATGTGTGTATGTGTGGCGCGCGCACGCTGTGGCAACACTTGAGCGCCTCTTCGTGGCCATGGCTGTGTGCCTCTTCGTGGCCGTGGCTGTGTGCCTCTTCGTGGCCATGCTCTGCATGTGCCTCGTGACCTGTGAGGGGCCAGGCTTGAACACAGAAAAAGGTAGCAACGAGCACAAGACATCACAAGCCTGCGTGACCATGCTCTTCATGGCTGTGCTCCTCATGAGCATGCTCTTCGTGGCCGTGTTCGTCGTGACCATTCTCATGATGATGCTTGCCAACTTCCTCATGACGCTTCGGCCAGCAGTGCTCGCCGTGCGGAACATGAAGACCACAACAGTGCCAACAAAAAATGTGATGCGGGTGTCAGAATGTGCAGCAGCAAGCACATCGTGCAGCGTGACTTTGCCAAACGTGGTCTCGATGATGGTGGCCTCCAAGACTCCAGCAATCTGCTATAACCTGTCCAGCTGAACTGTCGAAGAAGCAGAACCCAGCCTCCTTGTTGATGGCCTTCACCACTGCCCTAGTCGCTTCCACTTGGTCCTAGCTGCAAGTAAAGCCACGCACTCCAGGCACTTGAGGGTGAAGCTACTGCCCAAGGTCTTGACATTTTCAACCTGCTGCTTCTTGCAGCAATGCAGTTGCCTCACAGATACAGGTTGGCATGTTCCCCCTTACATTATCTTATACGAACAGTCCTTAATGGGGATTGTACTAGAATCCCTATTAAGGACTGTTAGTATAAGGGGGAACATCCCAAGATACAGAGCTTAGCAGCAGGCTTCACCCAAGTCGGTCCTGTGTCGCCAAGTCCGTCTTGTTCAAGACCACGATGTCAGCAGCCTGGCCAAAGCATGCACTGTGTCCACCTCGCCAACCTCTACACGTCGAGCGCAACTCCCCTTCAAAAAAATTGAACTGCAAGCGCCGCTCGGCGACACACAAGCATAGCAATATCACAACAACTCCCCGGGGCCTCTGTTTGCTCTACTAGCAGCTCCACGACACTGCACTCTGCCATCTCCTTGCTCAGTGGCTCAGTGGCTGCTTTAAGTGCAAGCTGTGGAGCCATGTCAACCCCGCTGGCCCGCACGCATACTCACGCAGCCGAGCTTCTCCGACATCGCCATCCTGCAGGTCCTCCCTCTCGTATATCCGAGCGAACTCCATGTATTCCTTTGTTGTATATGCCAGGCTGCCAAGAGTCAACAGCAAGCATGGAGAATGTGGCATGTGAGCTCTCATGCGTCCTCCTGCTTCAGCGGTTGGAGAGCTCATGCAAATCGCATGAAAGTCGTGTTGGCAAGTTTACATAGCGGAACAGAGGCACTACAGTCTACGGTCACGAATGTCAGAAGCTTTTGCAATGCCCATGATGCCTCGCAGAAAGTTGAGGCATCCAGTATTGTAACAACTTTGTCCAACTTCACTCCGTCGACCACATAGTACCTGAGAGCCACACTTTGTGCAGAGAGTAGGTGTGGCCATGACCCCCTTGTAAATCCAACACAAGCCGTCAAAATGCTTCCAAGACCTTCACAGGAAACCCTTGCTCTATGGCAGAGTCAAAGTTCTCGCGAACTCGTCTCGGCTCTGCTACTCCGCTCCTTAAGTCAAACACAGCAGGCAACCAGTCTCTGCAGACTTCCATCACCTCTGTCGCCTCTGTTTTCCGCGACCTGAAAACTGAAATATGCTCCCCGAAACGCTCTCAGACCGCATGGAAAAGTGGTTCCTTGGGTGCTGCTACTGTTGATAGTCCATGGCCTGGCGTGGCATGCACTTCAGCCGCAGTTCGCCGCTGTTGGCGCTCCGCTTCTTTGTTTAGAGGGTCGGGCATGCCTTTGCAAGCTGGGCTTAGAGGCGCAGCGAGCCGTTGACATTCGTTCCGCTTGGCGTTTCCTCCCTTTACTGTCAGTCAACCCAGGGCATTCGGCACCATGAAGGGCCCGGGACAAGTACAGATGAAGGGCCACGGAACAAGAATGGCTTGATCATCCCGGAGTAGCGCCCAGTATATCACCGAGACCTAGGTTGCATTACTGTTGCATCCCAGGAGCAGCTCGACAACAATCTGGCTGAAGGGCCTGTCCTGCGGGGACTCTACAAGAACTGCACCCAGCTATGGGCATGCGCACATCGTCAGATGCGCCATTTAAGTCTGACATGATCATCGACAGATGGGACACTTCAGATGCCATTGTCATGTTTTCAAGCCGGCCGCACATGCTGGACATGCGGTATTGCAGCTGTCCCCACCGGCGAGCTCCAGCAAGTCATGAATGTTGACCAGGAGCTCATCACCCAATGAGCAGCAGGCACAGCCGTTCCTGCGAGCTCGGGATAATCCGAAGAAGCAGCTGCGCAGCTCAAACGCTGCTGAGACCCTGTGCTGCCAAAGTGCTGAAGCTGGATGGCATTCACCTCACCCTCTGGGTTGTAGGACTCCTGCTGTACCTGGGCATGAAGCCATGATCAAGATAAGCGGAACCCTAAACTTTGGAGGTCTATTTGCACGCAGTCTCCAGCCAAGCCAGTCCCAGGTGCAAGTTTCGAGTCAATGTTCACAGCAGCCACGTCGTTTACCACAACGCCTGGGTCAGGCCAAACTAGTGCCTTTCACGGTGATTGTCGACTTTTTCAGGCTATCTCAGACTACTAACCCAACATCGGCTTCCACTCCAATCGAAATGCGCATGCCGACAAGATGCCCACGCGGTCGGTGGTGTTCTCGAGCCAGTGCCGCAGCAATGTGGTCTTCCCTGTGCCCAAGAAGCCGCTCAGCAGAATCACAGGCACCTGTGAGTCTCCAAAGGGAATTCGTTGCAAGTCCCGGCATGCAAGTCAAAGCATGAGGAGCACTGAAATGCGTTTGGGCCGCCGAGTGTTGCACGGCGTCCTCTGTCGCAGTAGCCGCTCGCGTCAACGACCACTGGCACCTTGCCGGACTGTCCGTTGATTCTTTCCGCTTTCCTAGGGGGGGGGGGGGGGGTCAAGCCTCCCCAATCTGCCCTGCCGCCGCCGCGCGCCCGACCAAGCAGCAGCAAGGAAGGCAGTTGCTGTTGCGGCAGTGAGAGCTCCTCAGAAGTGGGCATCATAAAGCCAATCAAAGAACGTAGGAGCTGCGATTGAACACGATGAAAAACCTTCTGGTCTGGAGATGTCTAGGAGGACTGCAAGGTGGACTGCAAGGTCTGCAACTCAGGGAAACGCAAAAGCCCGTGCCTCGGCCACGAACGGGGGCCGGTGCGTGCCACGCGGCTGAAAATTCCTGCGAAGCTCACGTGTATTTTTTCTTTATATTAATATTTATTTTTGTATATGATGTGTTTCTATATATATATATATATGTACATATGTGTGTGTCATAGTCAAGTACATCGACGTCACATCATGGGCCTCGCCTGAGCGGCCCGGCCAACTGGTCTCTGAGCTGGTCGAATGGTCCGGAGGCCTGCAAATCCAGGGCATGGTGCAATCATGGGCCTTAAGCTGTAGCCCAATGCTAACATCGTGGCAACTTCTCGCGAGTATGTTCTGGGGTTACCATTTCGAGGCGGCCCCCAAGCTGTGGGGCAACCATGATTTTTGAGAACTGGCCATATCAATGCTTCTAAGCTTTAGGACAAGGCCCCTCCCCACGCATCTCCTACCCGAGGCTGCCTGCTGCCTTCGTCGGCTTGGCTGTCAATGCCAGGGTGTGCATGCTGGGGCGATGGTGCTAGTACAAAACTGCACCCCCTTGGACTGAAACACTGCAAGCCGAAAGCCATGTGGATTTTGGCACGTGTGCCATGGCAGGATCGTGCAAGCTGCAGCATGGAAGCAACTCAGAGAGCCATCAAAAAGAGCAACGTCGAAGATGGAGGAGTTTTGCTTCACCATCCCTGCTTTCTGAACGTCACGCAATCTGCGAGGGGTCTTCTGGAAGTTAAAGTTAGGCCCTAGTGTTCACGATTCGGCCTGCTGCCTGCCCACATAGAAAACACCATTCTACGATGTTCCCCACTCGGGAATGCACTAAGAACCCAGGGCAGATCGATGGCAGCGCTCTGAATCCGCGAGATCAGCCACCTTCGACGGTGGCTTCTGCCCCTTTCCAGGCACAAACTCTCCCTGCGGGATGCCGGCATTGGGCAAAAACTTCGTCCTGCCTCGTCTGAAATGTCACCTTTCTGCACTCCACGACCGTGTGTTGTTGGGCTGTTGGCTCGCAGCAGTGTGACCACTACATACGAAATGGAATCCGAAAAAGGGGGTGCTCTTGTTGAGGGGTTCCTGGGGTAAGGATTCTTGTATTTTGGGGGGGTATATCAGGGGTACCCTATATTAGGGGTACCCCATTTGGGACAGGCCCAAATGGTTCTTGTGGATTCTTAACAGCTCAGAGGCCTACACGGGTGTCGATGGCAGGACTTTGGCAAGGCACACAGCCCTGCAAAGTGGGGAGGATGGGAGTCCAGGCATGCATCTGCAGCCTTCTCTCTCACCTCTGTACACTGTCCCGACTGAACTTTAAAGCTAAAAGCATACCCTAACCAGCCCTCCACCTTCTGTGTATAACTTCTCCGAGGTCTCAGCCCGTCTGCTGGACTTCACCTTGACCGCGGATTCGGGCCATGGGTTGAATTGGTCTTATGGGCGTCTGTCGCTGGTGAGTCTAGAAGTCTTCCACTTGTGCTACAAAGCGAAGCGCTCGACATGGGCAATCCATGACAGCCCCACGATTTTATGACAAGGGGGCACACCGGCCCCTGCGATTTACATGTCGTGCTTCCGCATGTTTCGATTTCTGCGGACGGTGCTCGAACCGTTGGCACAAAAAACTAACCTGGCTGAGCCACTTTCACTGGATCGCACACAAAGCCAGGACACCTAAACCTTAGCTGAGTGCTCAGGCTCGCTTGGGTTTGATTCTTCAGGCCTAAGCAGCATCTATGCGTGAATTTCAAGAACAAGCAATATCAGAAAGGGCAACTGCCATCGACTGCCCATGCACTGCAAACACGATCCAATAAGGGCCACACGGCCCAGCATGATGCGCTTTGCTCGTTCGCGGACAAACATGTCTACAAGGATGAACATTGCATAGCTGCATAATATGTGGGATTACTCGGCTTTTGGGGCATGTCTTGGAGCTGTCGTGCTACTCGACAGCAGCAGTTTTGTGGACTTACCAAACCATTGCTATGAGAGAGTCTTTCGTCTGTTTCGTGGCACCTTATCCAGCACGGGCTTGTCGCAAGCATTGCCGGTACAGGATCCAGGGCTTTACTAATGGCTGCCATTCGCCTATAAAGGGCTCGGGGGCCGGGTGGGTTCGGTGTCTTGGGTGAAAGTGTTAAACGATTGGGGACTGCCACATCCACGCCACCTTCCGCCGCCGCAGCTGCCTCTGCAGCCACAGCAGCATCGGCCGCCACTGCCGCTTCTGCCGCGGTGGCGCCCTGATGTCACCCCGGATTGGCTTCAAGTGCGAACTTCAGAAATCTGCATCCTTAGGAAGGTCCTTGCAGATTCGAATGTGATATGAAATGAACACAACATATGTTTAACTTGTGTGCACACTTTTGTGCACTTACCGCAAACAGTTCAAAGTTCAAACAGAGATAGCTACAGCTTCTGAGGAGGCATGTGGAGCAAACGTCGGGATTTGCCAGCAAAAATTTGCAACCTGCAGATTGCCCCACAGAACAGGTGCCCTCCATGTACCTCCAACTTCTGCGTGCAGCCTGGCCCTGGCACCCTCAGCAAGGCCCACCTCGGCTGCTGCAGCGCCTCCTGCGGCCTCAGAAGAAACTCCATTGAAAGTGAGAAAGAAGGAGCTGCAAGGCCCAGAAAAGATCATTGCACCCTTCCGGTGTGCTGCCATGGAATCTACGAGCCCATGCAAGGGCTCAGCATGCCAAAGCCAAAGCTTCTTTATGTGGATCTTGCTTGGTGCCCAGAGGGCCAGAGTTTCGAGATTCAGCAGTCAGACAGGAACAGGCTCGTCCATTTATGTGCTCTGTTGTCCGTGCCGGCAGGCACCACAAACTCCGCGCCACTGAGTTCACCACGGTATCAGCAGCAATCGCACCTTCGGCACCCATTGCTCCATCGCCTGCAACGCCAGCCTGAAACACAGCGGCAGTCGTGAAACCAAGACTTCAGCACTCTCGAAACAGACTGGCTCAAGCGGAGTGGACTAGTTCTGTGGCTTGGCAGCATACTGATGACGCGGCGCCTGAGGATGGGAATTACATATTACATGCTACAGCTTCAACTCCCTACCCTGGTTCTTGATTGATCTTGACTCAGATCTCTGCCCCGCCGCAATCTGGGGCGCGGGGCTCACACTCTCTCCCGTCCCTCACACACATACTGCAGAGCGAGGCTAGGGGGGCCATCAAATCAAAGGGCTCACTGAAGCCTGAGAGTTCAAAGGTGTCTCGAACTTGTCTCGAAAGCCCAACCAGGGAACGGAAAGCACAGCCCGTGATACTTTCGGTCACCGTCGCTGTCGTCTCAACCACCCCCGCAGGCGCCTCTAAAGCTGCCGCCCCTGCTACAGTGGTACCTGACGCATCATGTCATGGGCAATCAGATCATGTTGGCCTGAAGTTTTGCGAACCTTTGCCGAAAAGCAGCCAACTGGGTGAAAAGTGCTCTCAAAGCTGTGGTCTCGGGCCTTCCGCGGCGACAGCGACCTCAGCAGTGCCAGCTGCGGCCGCCCCGCCAAGCGCTGCTGTGGCAGCCTAAGTGCTGTGACTGTGGGGTCCGCGGAACTTAAGACTTTGAATCAATTGAGGTCCACTGCTTCTCTAGGCTTTGGCTTCCTAGAAGTCCCCTGCGCTCTTCTGCAGTCTCCTGACGGTCCTACATTTGGACAAGCCGTGTTCAGGGCACCGGGCGTTGCCGTGGTCTCTCAGTGTAAATCTGGGCAAGAAACGGTCACGTCAATGCATCCCGACAGCACGAAGCCAGCCACATTCATAAAAGCCTTCTCTCAGGCAGGCAGGCAATGGATGCTTAATGCGAAGTGGATGGCATGTCTACGCTCGCATGTCATGCGGCACCATGACATAGCTTTTCAATGTACGCCTGCACGGCCCGTCCACCCCTTCGCGGACAGCATCTGTCACATTTGCCACCCAGAAGCTGACATGATGCAGGCTCCAAGGGAAAGCATGGCCGAGATGATGATGCTGCGGGATCCAGGGCAGAGCCTCCAGTCACTCGGCGCTTATCAGGATTTTCTCACGACTCAAGCTTGCCTGAGAAGCCCAACTCGCAAGTGGCCCTCCCCCTTTGCCAAGCCTTTGAGGATGAACAGAAAAGTAACAGAAAGCAACATCTCAGAATCGCTGAACCGGGGCGCAGCATGAGAAGCAGTAGGAGGCTGAAGCCAAACCAAAGCTTCTGTTCCAGAGGCATCTGATCGAATCCCCCTGCAGAGGGACCAACACAGACTCACGAACCCTGAAAGTTTTCCGATTAGATCCATCTCCATTCGGGTTTAGTTTTACGGCCGAGCACGTCCGCTCAAAAACACAGCTGCAACTCCAACAACCTGTCATGCCCTCAAGAAAGCCCCGTCTGCTCCTCCGCTTGCTCCTTTGGCTGCTTCTTCCAGAGCCGGCCAACCCCACTCGTGGTAGGTGAACGTGGCCCAAGCCGCAAGCGCCACGAGAGGCAGCAGCAGCTGGGCAAGAACCTTTCTCCATCGCTTGGCCATCGATCTTACGCTGCATTCTGCGTGTGCGTCCCTTCCTCAAGTGGAAACTTGTATTGGCACCTGGCCTTGTGAGGTCTGGTGCTGACCCACTGCAGCCGTTCTCAATCACTGTGAAGCACTGCAAATGCCAAGTTGCTCTTCGCGCCCGTGCGCTTTTCGGTAGGAGCCGTGATACCTGACACAGCAACGCAACGTCCACCGCGACGCAGCTAAGACCATTTCAGGCTTTCAGCGCGTGGAAACTGAAGGTGATTCGGCTGTTTTGAAGTAACAGAACCAGCACGTCTTCAACCAGGGTGCTACAGGCCGCATCCGTTCACGAAGCCACCTTGACCTGCCATCGCATGCGCACGCGTGAGCCAGGCTGCGAAGAGCCCTACAAAGCCACAGTTCTACATTGGCAGAACTGTTACATCGACCCAACCCATGCAGACCTATCCCGGCTTTGCATCCTGGCGGTTTGGCGGTTTCCAAGTCCCGGTACTATTCTACTTGCCTTCCATTCTGCCGGCCGGCACTGCAATGCAAGGGAGATGAGACACGCGAGTCACAAGAATCCTTCACGAAACTAGCCAAGGACGCGTCACATACGTGTAGATGAAAGCCACACTGAGCGAGCAAAGCCAGCTTCTTGGTGAACGCAGCAGCGCGGGAATCTCGTGCTCCCTCAGTTTTTTTCGAACAGCAATAGGTTGGTATGGTTTGGGGGCTGACTAAGACATTGTAAGTCGACTGTATGATAGGAACACAGAGAGAGTAACACAGAGAGAGAAAGAAAGAAAGAGAGAGAGAGAGAGAGAGAGAGAGAGAGATCGAGCGGAGGGGAGGGAGGGAGGGAGGGGAGGCAGGGAGGGAGGCAGGGAGGGAGGGAGTGAGGAGGGAGGGAGGGAGAGAGGGAGGGAGGGAGGAGAGAGGGAGGAGAGAGGGGGGAGAGAGGGAGGAGAGAGGGAGGAGAGAGGGGGGAGAGAGGGAGGAGAGAGGGAGGAGAG